TTTCTTACATAATTACATGAATCCAGGGGATGGGGCTTTCCTGCTAAATATTCCAGCCAGCACCAAATATTGTGAGTCTTGGCAACACTGCAATTCCCAACCTCGTCCCATTGCTACGGATGTCCCAATAAGTCTCCCATCCAAAAGCAGATTTTGTTCTGTTTGAAAGTACATTGCTTAGAATGCCCCATTGTCATGACTTCTCTTGTAATATGAGCATAACAATTATGACAGATTTTCTCTACTAATAACACAGAGTTCCAAAGATTTTATCAGAAACTTTTATTAAGTCTCATTTTGAAGAGCTCACTGAAGGATAATTAAATAAACATGCAACACTGCTTATGAAAAATTAAGTTATTATAGTTCATGATATAAAGCTGTTTATTTACATGTTTTAAGGCGAACAAAACTTTCATAGGCAAATCATTTTGTATAGTAGCCAACATCAGGCCTGTATTCCACAATATAAAGTTACATGTGAGAGTCATTTAGAATATATTTAAGCACCTGGTACATTGAAAAGCCATGCAGTTTCTACTGTGGAGAGAATAAATGTCCATCTCACATTCTGTAAAGCTTCTTTTAATTCTAAGAGTAAAGGAAGGCATAAAGGAATAAGTAGAGTAGCAGTATTCCCATACTCTGCCATTTCAGTAAGAGTGGGAACAATCCAATGGTTTGTGTGCACTTTAGGGGCTTGATTCTGAGAAACTGTGCATATATAATGACTATAATGGATATAGTCAGTGGGTTCCGAAAGTGTTTGCTACATCTCAGAATCAAGCCCCAAATAAACAAGCTGAGACACAAATATACTGCATGAACTAGAACAGACGATTTTAGACGTTACAAGGAGGATTTGGATATGTAGAAGGTAAAAGTGAGATGGAGACATATTCCTTTTAAATTAGAATAGGTTAATGATAAATACTTACTGCAACCTGAATTATAATCTATGGCATTTCAGCCCTAAGAGTATTTTGTATGGAAAGTATAAACTGAAATAAAAACCAGTCCACAGGACCTACCCTTTAAGCATGCTCTAGGCTGGTAAGTGGGTGGGAAAAGTGTAGTTTGATGCCTCACTGTGCCCTGTAAATGCTGGGGCTGGAAGACTACTTAAACAGAGAGCAGGGTTTTTGCACAATGCATGTGGCTTCTGGGGAGAACCATGAGCTCCTACTTGGTTAGCAAGGATGGGAGCTGCACCGCAGCATCGAGGAATAAAATGGGAAAGGAGTGGGGAAGATAGGAACATCAAGGGAGGCGATTTGAGGACATTTTAAATATCAAGCATTGAACATGTACAGTAAGTACTAATAAAGTACAATCTATTGGCCATGTTGTGTGGTAGTAGGACCAACGTAAAAAGGTCACTGGTGAAGGTGCTGCTGCTCCTATGTTAGTGTGTTTGGTCACAAATCTGCTTACATAGAGCATCCAATGGTGCCTTAACATGGCATATTGAAGCAGTCCAAGATATTATTTTTAATATCAATTATATACACACACACACACAGAACACCTTTGCTAGAACCATGTTAGAAAGTTTTAAAAGTGAATTTTATTGAAAGCAAATCCTATAACTATAATGCCCACTAACCCTTGAAATAAGGCTGAACTGCTTAACATTTCTTTGGGGCAAGACGTATTGCCTGTGCTGCGTACTCTCTATATTAGTAAAAAGATCAGAGCTATGGAAAAGTCTAAAAGCCCCCGGGAGCTGGCCAGGGAAGGATTTCCTCAGTGCGCAATCTGTAGAAGACAGCCATATGTTGTGCCAAGAGAGTTGGGGGCAGGAGGGGTCTGTCAGGGCCTGGGTGCAGCATTGTAGAGATCTATGGAAAGCTACCATAACTATTATGCCCAGGGACAGCACAAAAGGTGTCTGTTACCACAGCCCCTTTCCTTTGGGCTGAGAGTTCTGTGCCTCTCAGAGGCTTGGTAGAGAATCTCTTCCATGATATTAGGGATAAACACAAACTTACTAAAGAGCCTAAATATTCACTGTTCAGGAATCCTGCATTTTTAAAAATACCAGAGGCAGCTAATGAAACCACAGAGGCAGCTACGCAATAATATTTGTGAAGCACAAAGGGTTGCAGCCTATGGCAGGATCAATAACCCAAACCCTGAAGGCAATTGGTGGCTGAGTTACATTATTATTGTATCAGAGGGGTAGCTGTGTTAGTCTGAATCTGCAAAAGCGGCGAGGAGTCCTGTGGCACCTTATAGACAAACTGAAGTGTAGGAGCATAAGCTTTCGTGGGCACAGACCCACTTCGTCACATGCATCTGACGAAGTGGGTCTTTGCCCACGAAAGCTTATGCTCCTACACTTCAGTTAGTCTATAAGGTGCCACAGGACTCCTCGCCGCTTTTGCATTATTATTGTAGGATCAAGTACTAGTTTATGTCTATTTACTGCAGAAGACTCCAAGATATAGTGACAGTTTTAGAATGCTAAACACTGAATTTGCATGCAGTTGTGGTTTAGTGCAGATCTGTACTGAAGTAATATGTTTTTGTGGTTTTATAGCCACAAGGTCAAAATGCCTACTGCCTCAGCGATTATATGAGAAGCGAGCATTCTTTCTTCGTTCCATACACCTCCCTTTTATCATTCTGCATTGTATCTTTTAATGAATAAAAACCACACATACATCTACAGTTGACTACAGGATTGAAAGCCAGTGGCACTAAATCAATGTCATAGGGAAATCCAGTAAGTTTATTGTTCTGGCAATACTAGTCCATTAACTTTTGTTATCTTGCTTAAGTGCAAAAAGCATGATGGGCAAAAGGCAGATTGTTCTCTTGAATGTACAGTATGCCATTGATAAGCTTTGAACGGTTGGAGGTGCCAAGATAGTGAAGCAGTTTTTGTGTAAAGTCAGAGTTCAGAAAATAGCCATTCACCCTTTGAGATCTTTTATACTTTTTAAAGCTGATAACAAGGTACCAAAGCAGTGTTAAGTATTTATAGCCAACTATACAAAGCAAACTTTGTACGCAGAAGGAACAATTCTGTTCTCACATACAATATATTTCATCCAAATCAGTGGAATTCTTGTGGATTTTTGCCAGGGTTGCCAATGGTATTGATTCCATTCAGTACGGAAAGTTGGCAACCCTAATTTTGGCTGGTGAGAGCAGAATTTCCCATTATAAATAAGCACTAATTCACTTTTGCAAATCCTAGGTCCTCTCAAACCAGTTTGTGTAGGAGTAACCTTGTGCAGTGCACAGAAAGCAATTGTTATTAACTTCAAAAAAGTTTGTTTGTTTGTTCAGTCACACTGCCATGAAGATAATGCATTTCAGCCTGAGCAGACTTAAAATTCCATTCTTTAGCAAGACTGGTATAGTTAGAAAGGGGACCAAAAAAGAAAGCCAAAGTGCAACTGTCTGAAAAGTAGATTTAACTTACATGCAGATTAAGCATTATACTCTTAAAACAGATATTTTGACCATGTCTCTTTAATCTGACAAAATTCCTCCCTATCTGCTTCTAACCTCTTTTTAGCTGATAGCAAGTTAAATATATTTCCCTTTTATCATGAATGCCCACTGCTGAGTTGTTGTACTTTGCTCACAAGTGATGAGCTATGTATGTTCATTTATTTCTGTTGGATTGCTCATGAGTAATCTGCTGCTGCCTTTTTACTTTTGAAGAAAACAAAACCTTACAAACACTGAGCCTGATATTTTCAAATCTGCCCAAAGGATTTGGACACCATCAAGAATTCAAATCTTTAAGGCAACTTTGAAAAAAAAAATCTCAGTTTGAATCTTTTTTTCAGGAAACAAAAGTGAATTTAGACCTTACAAAGAAATACAAGAAAACCAAGAAGTTGGAAAATCTAAAGTTGTGACCATCATCCTAAATACACTGGTGCTACAAAAAACATTTAACATGCACATCTCACTCAACATATGGAGAGAGAGGAGCTGTTACTGAGAAATGCAACACATTTGTGGTCTGAAAAAAGGGGGATCAGTTAATTTACTTCCTTATTCCAGTGTTTTATACCATTTCTAAAACACAGTACTGGTCAACATTTTTTTTACTTTAGTTCAGTGACATTTTAATGCCATGTTAAAGAAGTGTTAATGAGGTAATCAACACATCAGGATCCAACTTTTTAAAATTCCTTCATAATTGATACATGGTAAACCAAATTTTGTCCCGAAGTCCTGTTGACTTCATGTAGAATAGTGATAGAAATGTAGCCGTGTTAGTCTGGTGTAGCTGAAACAAAATACAGGACTATGTAGCACTTTAAAGACTAACAAGATGGTTTATTAGATGATGAGCTTTCGTGGGCCAGACCCACTTCCTCAGATCAAATAGTGGAAGAAAATAGTCACAACCATATATACCAAAAGATACAATTTAAAAAAATGAACACACATGAAAAGGACAAATCACATTTCAGAACAGAAGGGAGATGGGGGGGGCGGGGGAGGGGGAGGAAGGTGAATGCCAGTGAGATGATATTAGAGGTGATAATTGGGGAAGCTATCTTTGTAATGGGTAAGGTAGTT